TGTATTAGTGTCAAGAGCGAATTACACGCTATAAAAATAATGAAATACTTACCGCTGCTGAGGTGGCAGTCTTCATGTTGATAATGGCAAAGTGGGATTGTTTTTCCACCTCCACATCCTGGTCGTACAGAAGAAAAAGGAGAATACATTTTGTATGTTTAAACCCTGGCTTAGTCATTGCAGCTAAATGTATTTGGTTATTTTTAAGAGGTTACAGTCAAACAAATGATTGTTGATTGTTTTGATCATGATAATTAAAAAAATGTAGCACTTATTGCAGGAAAAGTTCTACATTTTAACTGTTACCCACAACAGCTAAGTGTTCGTAGCAGTCAGAGTCACTAATCCCTTAATACTGCTTCAATTGGAATGACATGGGACAGAGTTCAAAGTTTGATTTGAGCAGTCTTTGAGAAAGGTGCGGACATACCTTTATGTGTTTCCAGTTTTAACAAATAACTAGAATGTTAAAAAAAATGAGATGAAACAGATTGATGGTTCTCTCAATATTGTTTCTGTGCCGTGTGTACCTGATCAATGTCTCCCAGTTGGCTGTGGATGTCCTGGCAGAGCTCCAGCAGCAGGCTGACAGGACTCTTGTAGAGAATGTGCAGACTGAAGAGAAGAGAGAGCAGGCCCTTGGAGAAAGGTGGATCCTCTGAAAGAGAGAAAAATGATCAGAACACGACTTACAACACATCACACAGACACAGAGAGTAAATAATACTGTCACTCACCAAAACTGGTCTCCTTGCAGACTTTCACAGTCCATGTGATCATCTGAACAAACTGTGAAGAGAGATCTGTTTAGTAGTAAAAGTACTACAGTTACCTCCCCCCATAAAGTGCACTTCAGAATACACCTACCTGTTGGGAGGATGGCTTTAGTTGACGTGAGAGCACACTCAAAATGCTAACCAGTAGTTGAGCCTCTTTGCTGTTAAAATCCTCCTCACCGCCACTTAACTGAGTGAACAGCGCCCTCTAGTGACAGACAGAGGACACCGCAGCTGAGTAAAGACACTCTGAAAGGGTTGAAGAGTGCAGGCTACATTTCTATCTTTAAAAAACTAGACACAATATGATATTTTGCAAAGATTCACCTGAAACTGTCTGATGTAGAAGAAGTTCATCTCTGTAGCACTGCCGCCGTCTGGCTCTTCATTGACCTCCGAGACGTCTGCAGAAGAATGCAAAAAAAATAAAATAAAAACAATTCCTATGATCCACTCAAGTGTTATACCTTAACGTCGACGCTTTCAACAGTTTTAAAAGTGCTCCTGTCTGACCCATGGTGGAGAGGAGCTGCGACATTCTGTCTGGATATTGCTGCTGGCAGGTTGTGAAGATCCTCAGCAAGCCTTCCAGACACATCAGAGACAGGCTGGAGCGCTTCTCCTTCTTCCCTGCATCCTCCACCGTGCTCGGGATGTTGGTGTAACGCCACATCAGCACACTGGGATGGAAATGACACAAGTGATGTTACAGACAACACAACATGGTACATATTCTGAAATGATACCGTGTATGAGGGCCGAGGGATTCAAACCTTGTCATGTCACAAAGGAACCGGAAAGTTCTGTCTGTGTTCTGTCCATCTGGGCCTTCTGCATGTCCAGTTTCCTCCAGCTGCTGGATCTTCTGCACAGCCACACTGAGAGCATAACGCACAAACTCTCCACTGGAGCGAAGCACTGAGAGAGCCTCCTCTCTGCTCTGAGTACTGTCTCTGGAAAAAAGACATGAAAAAAAGAATCCCAACTCTTTAGTTCTGCAGTTTATTTGTTTTTACTACTTGCTTTTATATCAACCCTTATTTCAATGGAGTTTTACTGTCATTCCGCTGGGCTTGGGCCAGGGACCTTATCATGTACAAGAGCTATTTTCAGATGAAGCTATATCAAGATAATAAAATGTTGTATTTTCATTCAGAATGTCCCAGTTACTCTTACAACAAGCAATGTTCACATAGGCAGCGTAAGCTTTTACCTGAAGAGGACGCTGAGAAGAGTTGATATGAAGCCCAAAGAGAGCAAACTGCGGGGGGTCTTTTGCATGGGACCACGACCCTTCCCGGATTTCTCCTTCAGGATCTCAGCAAGCTTGTGGTAGCGGTTAAACAACTCCAAGAGCTCCTCAAAGTGGCTTTTACTACAACACAGAGTTCTTATTAACACATCGCCAACATTTATGCTCGGCAGTGTCCTGTCCACACAAAAGAAAAGGTGGCTGTTACCTGTAGTTTGCTTTAGTAAAGCTAAACTCCATGAGGACCTCGTACACTCCCATCACCAGCACAGCGTAGATGTTATTCTTAACCCCAACGCTGGATCCCATAGAGAACTCAGCTGACTTGTCCTGGTAAACACAGAGACAGAATATACAGTAAAAATGCACGGCTTAAACTCGGGACATATGGTTTCATTTTAGTCAGGGGATTCACACTAATGGACTCATCACACACACACACACATATATATGTATGCACAATTGATAAGGGTGCCCAATATTGTCTTCAATCCCACTACATCATACGTTTTATGCCTAGTGAAAAGTTACTCAGACACATCATTTCTAAGAGCAGTAAAAGGTTTCTCCTGCTTTTAAACAGAAAGTAAATATTGCAAAACCTTTGAAAGTCATTCAGTGTAGTTGTGTGTCTGTCATTTCCACAGTGTTTATTCTGTCTACAATACCAGTTCAAAGTCCTCCAGTTCACTCTTGGTCATGCGTCGCGTCATGCTCTCTAGGATTGTCTGCAGTTCGGACAGGTACCCCTCCTCCTCCTCCTCCTCGGCCTCATCATCGCTGTCTTCAACATTGGCGCGGGCTGACTGGCGCATGTTCTGCAGCGACAACAGGCAGTGTACAGTACAACTCAACAGGTGGGCCTGAAAGGGGAACAAAAAATATTTAAGTCCGACATTGACACCGAAGAAAAACACAGTGGTAAAATCGGACTCAGCAGGTAAGAGTACCAGAGGCTCCTGCAGGTAGACTTGGTCTCCGAGAGCTGTGATGCACGGCTCCAGTTTCACCGGGGGTAGAAGGTCTTGTTCAGGCTCGTAGTATCGCCTCAGCTATAGTTCAAACATGACAAAGCCAGCCGCATAAAAGACAGCTTAAAAAACAGGATTTTTTTTTGCATAATACAGCATGCACTTGATAACAGGCATACCTGGGACAAGAGGGTCTGCATGATGGAGCTTGCAAGTTGAGAGTTGCGGCGAAGAACATCATAGAAACCCTGAAAGAGAAAAGATGTTGCACTTCAAAGAATACAAATGTTTAGAGGCTTCATTTAAAATGTCTGTAGTTGAAGATTTCTATACATAAAAGATGCTGACTTAGGAGTAAGTAAGTTTTATCTTTATTAATTGAAAAAGCAGCATGTTGCTCAAATAACACTTTTAGTTCAGCAACATACTGCATTTTAAAAATGAACTTATAGACAGGCACACAAAAAAACAAACTCTAACCTCATAGAGCATGAGGCGCACATCAGCCTGCTGGCTGAGGCAGCGACGCAGGCTGCTTAGGATTTCCAGACAGAAGGCTTCATTGGCAGCAGAGTTGTAACGAGAATGAACATCCACTTGGATCTGTTCAAGCAAACGGTTATTGTGTTAAAAATTGCAGATACCTGCACAGATATTTTTCCCCATGTGTAGAAGCATCTATGCAAAGAACACAAAGAGTATATGTGGGCCCATACCTGGCTTGAGGAGACTGCCTGACTACACTGGCTGGAGGCCAGACTACCCAACACTTTGAAGTTCTTTAACAGCAACAAGAAGCCAGTCACTGCAGACTTCCTGCCATCCAGTTGGCTATTAGAGAGTCAAGGGGGAGACCAATGCAAGATCTTGATTAGCGATGTTAAACTGCCTTTCCTTGTAACTACTGTTAAACCATGAAATGCTTCGACAGTTTTGTGATCCATTAACTCCTCTAAAAAAAATCAAAGAGCAAAGCAGTACTCACCTGGAAAACATGGCCTTACGGAGAACTAGAATCAAAGCGTCTTTCAAGGACATACTGACCTTTAGCAGGGGCTGGACATTAAACAGAAAATAAATAAATAACAAACAAAACAAACAAACATCTACCTTGTGTGTACATGTGTGTGTTTTTAGGTACCTGAACAGCTTTAAGCAGACCCTGGACAGTGGCCAGGGGCAGGTATGACAGGTTGTCAAATGTCTCCGTCACTTTTGAGGATGACTCCAGGAGGATCATGGGAGCAGAGATGACGATGTCAGAGAAAAGGTCTGGTGGAACAGACACAGAAAAGAACAAGTTAGAATGTAGGTTCTTACTAGTCTAATACATTATTACTGTAAATCTAAAAGCTAGGGGTTGATATCTCTGACGTCGTATTACCTAAGTAATGACTGACAGGTGAGGCTGTCTTGGAGACCAATCGATTCAAGACTTGCTCTAGGATCTCTCCTCTAATAGGCTCGTGCATCTGTTACAGGAGAAACACATACACTCCAGTGAGAAGAAAACACAATGTAAAAATGTAGTCAATAATGTCTGCGAGTTCCATTTTGTGATACTTTAATAAAAGAAACATCAAATGTTACCTTAAAACCATGCAGGAGCACCTGTCCCCCCAGCTTGCATGCTAGCTGAGTTGGGGTCCGGGCTATGGAAGTAGATACTTCTGTGGTCTTTCCAAAAGGTCCAGGTTTGGGTCCAAAGTTATCCATAAGGAAGAATCCCAACTGCACCAGCCCATGGGTCACATGATCCCAACCAAACACACTGCACAGGTGGAGGAGACGAAGTCATGGGGAGAAAATGAATTATGACACTACTGTCCTTGAGATTTGAGAGAAGATTAAGTAGTATATCCTCATTTTGTACTTCCACTTGAAAGATTATCAGTTTATTAGAGGCAATGTTTAAAAATATATTTTTCTGATCTGTATGTTTTAATTAAATGTAAGGCTGAAAAAATAATCTGTATAATCTAAGATGGTGTACCGCATGATTTGGGGCAACACATTAATAGCTGTATTATAGTTCTTGTAATAAAGGTTGAAAGGTTTCTCACCTGTTGTTGACTGTGTCAAGTATCATCTGAGCCACACTGCAGTGTCCAGGCAGGAGATCCTGCAGGAACTTTGATCCCTGCTGCAGCTGCTCATCTCTGAAGCTCTTGATGATTGCCCCCTTCAAAAGGTCAAACACCTACCCAAACCAGGGAATGGGGGAAGAATGAAGCAAAAAGAAAAGGATTGAATAAAGTAAGAATAAAAAAGTATATATTTAATCAAAAAGAGCACAGGGGAAAAGTCCAAATTTCTCACCTGCTCTTCATAACGCTGGATACGTGCAACTGAAAGCAGCAGGGCAACACGGAAAGGGCACAAGTCCCCATAAGATGTCTGTGGAAATACAATCATAAGAGTTATAGCACACTCTTAATGTAATCAAAATAACATCAGTAACAAAGAGAGCTGAGTTCTGCATAACCTTAATGCTTTTAAGAAATTCTCTCCCGAGATCATGGTCGAGTCGTACAGCAAACACAATGTGAAGAATAGCAGTACCCTCCACATGCCTTAACTGGTCCTGAGGGATGGACTGAACCTCTAGATCCAGACTCCTTAGCGTCAAAGCAGAGGAAAACAACAATCATGAAGTAAGAAAGTTGGCATTTTAAAATTGAGATTCAATACAGTATGTTGCAAGAGCCACTCACTCTCCATGTTTCTGCTCTTCTTCCTGGCGAATGTCTTGTTCCTTAAAATAACCAATGATTCCTTCCAGGACCTGTTTCTTACAACCCTATCAGGCATGAAAGTGAAGCACAGGTATTAAGATAATACAAAAAAGAGGAAGGAATGATGAAAAGTTGAAATGAAAGATGTTGAGTCTCACACACAAATGTACCTTTGCAGACAAAAGTAGCAGCTGATAGACCAGTGGTGGGATCTCCTGTAGATCTAGTTTGGTGAACATCCTCAGAACTTTCTCCACCACAAACTGCAGCTCCTCCGATGACAAGGGCACATCTCTACAACAAGGTAGACACAAAAAAACACACTGCTGACTCATTTTCTATGCGATGTGAGGAAGCACGCGGAGAAAATATTGGGAGTTTGCAACGTGATACCATCGTAAAATAAATAAGAAAAGAAAGGACAAGTTACTGCAAAGTGCCAACATGTGATTAGTCTTTGGAGAACTGATCAGTATCTAAGAATGTGATGGTTTATGGTCTTACCTGAACATGGTCGTCAGGTGAATAACACATTGTGGGTCCCATCTGTATACATAATAAACAGGAATAGATGCAAATCAACATTGTGATTGTTACTGATCCATTTCCCAAAGTTTCAACTTATATATTCACCTATACTTTACTTTATATCAGACCCATAGGTCCATATCATTATAAGAAAGCACAAGAAATATAAAAACAGGACGGGACGTAATCACTACATTTCACAGTTTGTCAGCGAGTAGAATACAAGTTTCAATTTAAATATTTTATCTCAGTCAGGAGAGTAGATATGCTGTCATTATGATAAATGCTAATGAGAAACACTGGCAACACTTCCTTATAAAGAGAAATAGCCCAGGCATGTAGAATTGTATATCTAATAAGTCCTGACCTGCTTGAGCAAAGACTGTTGATCAGCTGTTTCTTGTATTCCTCACCACTGAGTTCGCCTAAAGTTCAAATAAAACAAGCAAACGCCAAGAGACTGAGTTTCATTGTCATTCACAAGACACCTCAGAGATGTAACTGGTTCTTATATAACATCAAATAATAAAGTAGTTGAGGCCTGAAGTGCGCACTTACCTTTGCCATAAGACAAGGCGTCACATGCTGAAAGAGCAGTAAGGACAGTGGGAAAAAGCTCCAGAGACTTCCCACTGCCCATTTTCCCCACCTTAATGGCGTCAACAAAAAGAGATGCCAGTTGTGCAAGACAGGATCCAGTAAGTGTGTGAGTCTGTGTGTAACATTTAAGAGAGAAAGTGGGAGGTCAGACACTTCAGTCAATAGAGGTCACTTAGTACAATGTGGTTTCTTATATGAAAAAGCTTCATAGTAAGTTTTTATATTACTTCCAGCATCAGCAGTCCAATGATATCAGCTGCCACCTCTGTCTGAAGATCCCCAGACTCACACAGAGGGATGCAGTGTTGATAAACCAGAAGTCTCCGGTTTGACCCTTCAGGTGAGTTGGAGGGTGAGCCTACATTTCAGAGCAGACACTTCACTGTGATTGAACTGGACACCATGTTTCACATTTAAAACAATGCAGTGTACTTACCCTTAAATATGCCTTTGATCATGGAACCGACCTTTTTACCCTTTAATGCACCATTAGTAATCACAGTAATCAGCTAGAAAAGGGGATAACAGAAGGGGAAGAATTGGACAGCGGCATTTTTTTTTTTTAGAAATGCGATGTGTATTTTGATCAGATATGTTTACCTCGTCGTTTGAAAGGGAAGACAGGTATTTCTGAAGTTCAGCTGTACTGTCGCCATCCGACAAAGTAACTATTTTATCAATTTCAGCCTTCATAATCGACCTGCAAAGTGGAAAAAGCATGGACACGAATGGATTTGTGGTAAAGCTCAAAAGGCTTGTTGCGAAAGATAAATGTTAAATTTGATAAATTACATGCAAAAATGAAATCTTTACCTCTGCTTGTCGTCAGCAAAAGTTTAAATTTTACTTTTAATTTATATTTATGAAACTTGTGCGGGGAAAGCTCAAGTTAATTCTCCGGTGTCATTGGTAACACGTAATGAAATTCCCGCCAGCGGTTACTTCCTGTTTTGCTTCTTGGTTGCCACATTAGCTCGAAACTCTGCCCCAGATAAAGTACATTAATAATCACATTGACACAACTTTTAACAGTCATTTGTACAATGTATGTACAAAAAGTATTTTGGGCTACCACAAATAATTTGAGAAATGAATCAAACATGCTATATTTCCATAGTATACTTTGAGTTACACGATAACTTAAATATTAAGTAGAAAACGCGTTTTTTAACATAACTGGCAACCCCTCTTACAAGACACGCCCCCAAGCTGTCTTTTCGTGGGTTGCCACCATAGACTGTATGTTGCCACCTATGGTTGCCATTGGTTGCCATACAGAGCAAGTAAATAATCTACCTGGACTCTGAAGAATCACTAGTTTGGCCCTTTTCAGAGTTTAATTCAAGCTTTATTACGTTGGATCCCACTTGGAAGTACAATCATTTCTACTTGTCAAACATTTAAAGGTTTAGTGGCTATTATTGTTTTATTAAGTGTAAGATAGTGTTTTATGCTGGTTCCTTTTAGAGTGTCTGAAGTTCACCTACTCTCTGTTGGTTATAGCTCAGAAACTATCGTGGGTCTTTCTAGCTGTGTTTTTCTCCTTTTTCTGGGTTTTCCCTTTTCTGGGTTTTCCGAGTTTTTAATTAATGGATAACCTTTCAATCAAGTAAATCTGGCCTGTCTATCTTTAAGAGACTCCCTTGATCATCAGCGAATATCTCGGGCCAGTGGCGCAATGGATAACGCGTCTGACTACGGATCAGAAGATTCTAGGTTCGACTCCTGGCTGGCTCGATCTTTTCTCAACTCAAAGGAAACTTTGACAGATCCGAGCAAAATATACTTATGACCCGAAATACATTTTAACACCCCTTAACATGAAATTATCCCCAAGCAGCCTCACCTCCGAGGCCTGGGAGTAAGATAAACGACTATAGCCTAAATATCGTCACTGCCGTCTTTTTCTCAGCGATGTTTTACAGCTGTTTGTAACTTTACGTAAATACAAAACACATGATCATCCTATTTAAACATCATTTAACATATTTGAAAGAACATATGAATACAAATCAGACCATAGGATAAATGAGTTTTACTTTTGATACTTGACGCAAAGTTCACTTCATATTCTGCATGCAGTACTTAAACTGGCGATATCCTACTGACATTTCTACTGATTTTAGGACTGAGGAGGCTACTTCTTAGACTGAGCACCATGAGGGGTCGTGTGTACGCGGAACTACACGGCAAGTGATCGCAAAAGGAAGGGCCATTATGGCTTTGGTTAAGCGCAATGGAGAGAGTCTTTGGTTCGATTCCCGGATGTCCCTGAAACATTAGATTACAATCATCGGTGCACCATTGCATGCTTTCAAATTACATCTTGATTACCCCTGTAGCCTACTTTACAAAGATGCGAATGTATTCACTGTATAGGCCTACATGTTTGTTTGGCACTTAAAGTTAAAATAAACGAGTACTCGAAATTAAAGCTGTAAACGAGAACATCTGGTTTACAGACATAGGCCTGTTATTTTTTTTTATATATTATATTTTACTGATTGTTCTTTGTAAATCAAACTAAGAAACAATCATCTAGACTTATGTGGACCATGACTATCGATGGTAGAGGAAAGAAAAGTTACTCCGCTCAGTACGCACAACGCGGTGACGTCAGAAGCAACGATCTGCCCATGCTCGTGCTTAGTGAAGGAGATGAGCCCACTGCAGCTGATAGATGTGTTTTAGTGATGTAATGTTGTCTGTTTGGTGACTGAGGATGGCTGTTTGTGCCAGGCTCTGCGGAGTTGGCCAGTCGCGGAGGTGCAGGAGGCGACAGCGGCAAAACCAGCAGGATCAGGGAAGCGACTCTGAAATGGACGAGGATGAAGAGGAGCGGATCGTAGGACACAGGCAAGCCGACGTCGGAGTTGGCGGCGGCGGCTGCGGAGGCCTGGAGAGCGACGTCCCCACTGCAGGGCCCAGTGACGCTTGTGAATATGGCAGCGGCCATGCCAGCAGTATAAGCTTTCTAGATCGAACGAGCACGGTACCTCCACACCCGCAGTCATTAGCGGAGTTACCCCCGGAGCTTCTGGTGGAAATACTGTCTCTGCTCCCCGGGACAGCGCTGCCAAATGTTGCCCTCGTCTGCAAGAAATTCAGGCAAATCGTAAACACTGAAACCATCTGGAGACGGCGGTGCACGGAAGGTAAATATTGTTATTACTGAATAAAATGAAGAGTTCAACACTAGTTTTAGACTGTTGTAAAAAAATAAAAAAAATAAAAAAAAGCAGTCACCTATTAATATTTGCAAACGATAGATTGATTGTTGTTTACGTGTCTTTTTTGACAGGCGCCATGCCCAGCTTTGGCTCCTTGGAAATATGTAACCTTAAAAGCTTCCTATTGATCTGCTGAGGGTTGACGGGGCATGTTGTGGCTAACACTGCCGCCCCTGTAGAAAAACAGACCACCAGTGACTTACTGATACTTACTGTCAGCCATTCTGTGCAGCTGATAAGACTGGTGATGCCTTTTGGAGGCCTTGAGCATTACTTTGATAACAACCAGCTACACCAGCCTGTGTTGTGTTGTGGCATGTGTAGTGAGGGGGATGTGGCCTATTACAACAGGTTTCATTAAATGCAAAAAAAAACAATAATAATAATAATAATCAAGTTCTTTAAAAAACATATTCTTCAAGCTTACTGGAAGCACTTGTGAAACACAGAAGACAATAAGGTAAAATGCAGAAAGCATTTTTTATTTTCTGTTAACCTGTAATTAATAAGTCAGCAATGATACAATAGTATATTTAAGGCACATCAGTTCATCATGAATATGTTGACATAAAAGAAAATGATACATCTTTATGAATAAAGTAACATAACATAGATCCAGTATAGACACATAGCAGTGCTGCTCACTGATTTGCCCGCTCAGCCCCCTCACTCTGAGACCTCTCCATTTATGCGTAATTTAAGACGTAATTATAAGAAGACACATTTTAATCCAAAGCCTTTTAATGACGAGGATCTTCCACTTTAATTAGCTTTATAACATGAGGTGATTTCATTTTGTTTGTGTTTGTTAGTACGAATTTTCATGAAATTCATTCTTCTTGGTAACTTTGTGAAATGTATTATTCAAGTCTGTGTACCACCTCTTAGCACTCCTACTTTTGGGGGTCTGAAGCTGTAACCTTATATGGGTGAAACATCTAAATTGTAACAGATGTTTATTTGTATAAGAGCCAACCATATGTTGTCAACAACTGTTTGCTAGACAAATAGTCTACATCTGTTACGTATACAAATCAGTGTCATGTCTTTATTGTTTTATAGTGATGTTTCACGATTTCTTCATTGGATTTATACAGCAGAAACAACCCCCACCTAACAGTGTTTTAACCAAATATTTTTAACACAAATAGCAAACTTGAATACTCTCGGTTAGGCTTGTGTAGTGGGCTTTTGCCACTAGATTGGTGTTTTTGTTCTTTAATAAATTAAATTATAAGCTAATTAAGAAGAATAGCAATTGGTTAAATAATCATAGAAATAAACACTTGTCACTTGAGCTTTGTTGTTCATAGCTTGGTGAGAATGTTGGGCAACTGCAAACAGTATGTTTGATGAAGTTGTGATAAATATATGTAGTTAAATAGTGGAAATTAAATACGCCTCCTTTTTCTTTCATGCGTTTTGTCTTTGCAGAGTTTGGTATGAAGGACGATCTGCGAAAAATGGAAGTGGGTGGGGTATCAAGCCGGGACCTCTACGTTAAACGTGAGTTTGTCTATATTCAATCGACCTTTTTATTAAACCAGTGAAGATTTTGTTCATTGCTACTTGCACCCTTATGTTTGCAGCCTTATATGTTATTTGGTAGGTGTTCCAAAAAGAAAATGTTATATTAAGCATTTAGAAACTATAGCCAACACAAAACATGCCAGAACAAGTGGCAGCTATTTGATTAGATTATTAAGACAGCTGCATAGAGTCCACACTGGTCCTTGGTTGCCATACACATGTCTGTGTTGTGTCCAGGTGTCAACCCACGGGTGAAGTCTGGGCGCTTTATGAAGCTCCTCCCGGACTATGAGCACATGGACTATAGAGACATTTACACACACTGTATGTACACAGCAGAAGCATGAGACGTTGT